GAGGGTATTGAAGCTGATGCGCACTGGAGATTGTTCTTGGCGATCAACACTATGAGTGGATTAATAACTACAGAAGGAAGTGTTGACAAAATTAGTTTACCAAAGTATCTTATTGATATACTCAAGGAAATGGCAAGACAGCATAAAGACCAGTAAGTACCCAATAGATTCGAATCTCAAGTTGGAAAAAGTAAAAAAAGATGTGGAGGTAGACAAAGAAATGTACCAATGTCTAGTAGGAAGACTTATTTATTTGTTTCACATATGACTAGATATAGCCTATGCAATAAGTTTATTAGTCAGTTTATGCATAATCCAAGAAAAGTCCATTTACAGGCAGTTCACCGAGTGTTTCAGTACCTTAAAGGCATAGCAGATAAAAATTTTTTTTCAAAAGAAATGGAGATCTAATTATTTAGGCATGCACATACTCCAATAATGTGGTAGTAAGTCTGTCATCAGCACGACCCACAATCCAGTACAACATGATCAAACTAAACATATTGAAGTCAACAAATATTTCGTCAGAGAAAAATTGGAGAGCAGATTGATCTATACATCATGTGTGCTTATGCATTTGTTTGTTGGCTGATGTGCTTACTAAAGGATTGAGTAGCCCAGTGTTTCAGAGTATTGTTGCTAAGTTGAGAATGGAAAACACCTATTGAGGGAGAGTATTGAAAAAGAAAAGTGTATATATATTTTTTTCCTTTGTGTAACATATCAATTAGGCCCATTTAAGTAGGATACTATTTTTTTTTTAAATATATCCTTTTTTTAAAATAAATTTGAGTAGGATCCTATTATGGTGGAATATCCCATAAATCATGGGATTTGGAAATAGTTAGGTTTCTTTTTTATATAAATATGATAACATTATAAATATGTGTAATCACTTGTCATTATTCAGTAAGAAATACATTTTTCTTCATAATTTTTACAAATTTGAACAAGTAATATTTTTTAATTGAATGGGTACTAATGATTATCAGAGTAAATTTTGTTTTATCATTCATGCCAATGCCTCTTCTGTTTTGTTGACATTCAGTCAGTAGGAAACCGAGTTGGAGTGGTAGAGCCATTTTTAATGCGCATGGCACATGGTGTCCCTATTTGCCCTTCAAACAGATCAAGAGACAGTACTAAAGCTTTGCATGGAAAATCTGACAACCGACCTGGAATTGTAAACAACAATATTCTTTCAGATGAGCACACACTTCGAGTGTGTAAAAGATTTTATGTTGCTCTCATTTTGTCAAGATTAGTGCAGGTATCTTCTATTACTTTTTGATTTTTGCCTGCACTAATGTTTTCTTTTCTAGCACCTTCCTCGTACATGTTTCAAATTGTTCACGTCTGTGCATTTAATTGTAGATATAATTTTGTTATGGGTGCATGTACACAGGTTTCTTGCCTTCTCAGGTGCATGGTTCTGCATTTTTTATTTCTTATTTTTTTTTGCTAAAAGTTCAATTTTGCTTTTGCTATCCTGTCCCCCAGATTTCTCATCTGTCTTTTATCTGTTTTTGGCCTATCATATGAGAAATAAGATTCAACTACTGTCTTTTGTCTTTTATCTCTGAATTTATATGTATTAAAGTTCTATCTAACTTTTATTTAACATATACAACAGTTTATCTGTTTACTGCCTCTGCTAATGCACACAATCTTTAAATTTTGGGATGAAGGAAGCTCCTATCTCTGATGTCTGTACTGCTTTTAAAGTAGCCAGAGGCATGGTTCAATCTCTTCAAGAGACTGCTGGAAGGTTTGCATCCATGGTTTCCGTATTCTGCGAGAGGCTTGGATGGCATGATCTAGAAGGCTTGGTTGCGAAGTTCCAAAATCGTGTTTCATGTGGCGTGAGAGCAGAGATTGCCGAGCTTACGACCATTCCATATGTAAAGGTATCACATTCTTCCAAGTATTTATTACTATGGTCCTTGAATTAGTTTTATGGTTATTACTATAATTGTTATTATTTGATTTTCAGGGCTCTAGAGCAAGAGCACTGTATAACGCAGCTTGCGTACACCTCTAGCAA